ATATGACTCGCGTTCAATTCTAGCCCTTTACTGCAGACAATAAGGTGCGTGTAAGCGATTTGTATGGTCCCCCTTTGGGTTATACTCAGCAATGCAGCTCATTTTCGGTGCCCACTCCTTCACCTACAGGTGCGATACCGTAGCCAATCAGGTCATGCACATACGCATGCACACGTATTCCATTGATATGTGAGCAGGAGTACGGCACTTGTTGTCTGTCATCTCAGTCACTTACAACGCGGATGGCTTCGTTTGGCACAGAAGATTACTTCGGTGACGAGGGCTACAGGAGGCCTAACAGTTAGTTTCCAACTTGCTTTTACATTAGCAAATACCATTTTCATTGTTAGCCAGCACCTGCGATTGCTTTTTTTTACATTTTCAAGACATAAGGTCTTTTTGTGGCTTAATTGTACGCTTTGCGTCTAATACAGAATGTGACCTATCTCATGCAAAGGGCTGACTCTTACAAGGCAGTGCTAAGCGCTTGCAGAGCGGCGTCAATGAGTAAACCAAAGCCTAGAATCACTATTAAGGCAACTTAAAAACCTAAAGAATGTTAAATGTAATATTACTTTTTTTTAAAAAGCAACTTTTTAGAAAAGCAAAAGTTCCCAAAACGTCAAAAGGCCACTGTTATGGATTAAACTGGAGTTTTTAATGAAGAGTTTTTACTGACAAAAAAACAAGCAATGAAAAAATAACTAGTAACTAAATCATCACAAGTGGAAAAACCTTTGAACCCAGTCTCCTAATAATGTTTCCACTTTCATATAATTTAAGAGCAAGTGTTGTTTACAATGAGACTTTTCACAGGCAGCTTACTGTTTGAGTAGGCATTCTAAGCGGTTTTACGAAGTGTAGCTGTTTTTTCCCACATTTCCGTTGTTTGAAATAAGATTAGGTGGGACAGACATAGGTGTTTCAAATGAATAAACATTTTTATTCGGACCAATGTTGACAGCCGGGCCAGTGATTAATGCGCTTCCTTCTCAAGTCTGACGACGACCTGGGGATCTACTTTCGAAAATTTACAGAATTAGTTTAAGGTCGCAAAAATTCCCATCACAGAAATCTGAGGAGCAACTGGCGAGCATACGTATACTTTCAATAAATTCTCATCAGGCCATTACATTTATATTGGAGGGGGGTAAAGTGGAAAGGGTAAAATTATGTTCAAAGTTACAAGCAAATTAGAGTAAATTTACTCAGTTTCCCAAAGGACACCTCTCCTTGAAATAAAATGACTTTTCAAAACAAAAGTGTGCAATAAATATGACATAAATCAGTATTACAAAGTTTCTCCAGTGCTTTTCCTTCTTAAAAAGTACTAAAAAGAAATAGTTCGCTGCTTACGTTTACAGTTACTAAAAGTGCACAACAGAGTGGCCATATACAGTAGATAGGCTTCCTCATGAAATTATAGGCTTTTTGCAAGAGAATCCCTGGAAAGGTAGCTCAGGGTGTCCCCCAAATCTCACACTAGTAAAGTAATGGTCATTCTTTAAACTAAGGCACCTTGCGGTTTATCAAGTAACATTACTTCGTTTAGAAATACTTTCTTTTTTAGAAAAGCGAAAACTTCCGAAAAAGTGGAAATCGAGCATACCAGATAAACTTCATTTTTCAATTAAATGAAAGCCTGTTCATGAAAAAAACGAGACAATAAAGCAGCACGAGAAGATTTTCGTTGGACAATAATCTACTTGTACACTTTTCGGGTACATATGCTTCCATATTATGCACAATGTAACGTATGGTTATTATCGAACAGCCGAAAGTTCGAGTATAGATTCCAACATGGTTTTATGAGACTTTCTAGTCGTTTCTCCTATTTTTAAATTGTTGGCGTTACGGTGGACTAAGGCAACCTGATTTTTTTTGAATACGCTGATTGACAGGTCAAAGAAGTAAGCTATATCGCGAGCTCCCGGCGAAAATGCCGGTCAGTAATTAATAAATCCGGCGTCGGAGTTCACGAAATACGTAATTGA